AAACCCTAAACCCTAAACCCTAAACCCTAAACCCTAAACCCTAAACCCTAAACCCTAAACCCTAAACCCTAAACCCTAAACCCTGCGGCCGGCGAAGCGGCAGCGCACGGGCAGCGGGAGCCGCGGCGAGCCACTCCGCAAGAGCTGCGGTGGGCTGCTAAACCCTAAACCCTCGGGAAGCCTAAACCCCGCGGCAAACCCTAAACCCTAGCTGGTGCAGCACTTGCAAACCCCGCAGCAAACCCTAAACCCTAGCTGGTGCAGCAAACGCAAACCCTAAACCCTAGCTGTTGCAGCAAACGCAAACCCCGCAGCAAACCCTAAACCCTCGCTGTTGCAGCAAACGCAAACCCTAAGCCCTCGCTGTTGCAGCAAACGCAAACCCTAAACCCTCGCTGTTGCAGCACTTGCAAACCCTAAACCCTCGCTGCTGCAGGTTTGGCAAACCCTAAACCCTCGCTGCTGCAGCAAACGCAAACCCTAAACCCTAGCCGTTGCAGCACTTGCAAACCCTAAACCCTAGCTGCTGCAGCCCTTGGAAACCCTAAACCCTAGCTGCTGCAGCACCGTATTTGTGCAGCATTTGGGGGTGTTGGGCGAGGAGTTCTTCGAGCTGCTGCGGGCCTTCTTTGCAGAAGATTTGCAGAAGTTGGAAAAGCAAAAAGTGTTCAGTTTTTTGCAAGTTTTGAATTGCAGAAAAAGTCAATAAAGTGTCGAAGTACAAAATGTCCCCCATCTTCACTGAGTCCGTCGCCAGCTCCACTGCTGCTGCCACTGTTGCGCTGCAGCAGCAAATAAGCAGCAGTTAATTAATTAATTAATTAATTAATTATTTATTTATTTATTTATTTGTTTGTTTGTTTATTTATTTATTTATTTATTTGTTTATTTATTTGTTTATTTGTTTGTTTATTTGAAAGGATTTGGTGGTGCGAAGGAACGGGGCTGCGTGGGGCTGGAGAAGCTGCAAAAATGAAAACTACTGCATGCACAATGCATGCAAAGTGCATGCATGCATGCAAGGTGCATGCGTGCATGCAAAGTGCATGCATGCATGCATGCAAAGTGCATGCATGCATGCATGCAAAGTGCACGCATACGGGTCATTCAAGACTTCTTCGGATTCGCCCTGGAAGAACTGGACGTGGCGTTTGAGGTAGTCATAAGCCTCTTCTCTGAATTGCAAAATAAATAAATTAAATTAAAAAGCAAAAAGAAAACAATAAAAAATAAAAACAACAAAAACAAACAAAATAAAGAAATGCAACAAATCAAAAACACTTCAAATCTTCAAACGCCGAAAAATGCCCAGGAGTCCCAGGTGTACGTACACCGCGTAAAGACCAATTAAACTGTTTTATCTTTTTTCAAAAGATAAAACAATTCAAAACAAATAATAGTAATAATATAAACAACAATAATAGATATAATAATAATAAATAAATAATTTCATTTAAATGCTCTTTGAAAACGCCAAAACTGCAACTTTTCCACTTTTCCAACTTTCTGTCTTCTTTGTTTTCGTGGACTAAATGGCAGCAGCAGAAAAAAGTTAAATCCATTTTACTCCATTTCTTTAATCTCAAATCAAACGCATGCAGCAGCAGCAACAGCAGCAGCAACAGCAGCAACAGCAGCAGCAGCAACAGCAGCAGCAGCAACAGCAACAGCAGCAGCAGCAGCAGCAGCAAAAAAGTGAAAGCGAAGGCGCAGCTGCCTCTCGCAGCACTTCGGGTGTCTGCAAAGGTGCTGTTTGCGCCGGAATTAAACAAACAGAATTAAATGAAGTAAATAAAATAATTAAATTAAATTAATTAAATTAATTAAATTAAATTAATTAAAGTAAATTAAATTAAATTAATTAATTTAATTAATTTAATTTAATTAATTTAATTAATTAACTGCCCACGTCTTCCCCAACTTCTTCAGCCCGTTGGCCAACATCAGATACACCTGGCGCTTTGCTGCCGGCCCCAAATTCCAGTCTTTGGCCCATTCGTTGATCTGCAGCGCCGCAGCATTATTTAATTAAATTAATTAAATTAATTAATTTAATTAATTTAATTTAATTAATTTAATTTAATTTAATTTAATTAATTTAATTTAATTTAATTTAATTGGTTTAATTCAAGTTGATTGAGTCAATCAAGTGGAGTTGGTCGACGCGTGCTGCGCTGCTGCTGCTGCTGCTGCTGCTGCTGCGATAATTACTTTGAGCGAAGAAGATTTGATTTTAAATAACAAAAAAGAAATAAAAAATAAATAACAAATAAATAAAATATAAATGACAAATAAATAACAAACAGATGACAAACAAATGTCTTCCGGCACCAGCAGCAGCAATAGCAGCAGCAGCAGCAACACCAGCAGCAGCAGCAGCAACAGCAGCAGCAGCAACAGCAGCAGCAGCAAACTGTGAAGTGGAAGTTCTCTTTTCCTGTGTCTGCTGCAGTAGCTCGTGCTGCTGCTGCTGCTGCTTCAACTCCAAAGACCACTTTAAATGACATTTATTAAATAAAATATAATAATTAAAATGGATTAAAAGATTCAATTTTAATTTAATTTAATTTAATTTAATTTAATTTAATTTAATTTTAATTAAATCTGCCCCACATATTTCACGTAGGGCAGCAGCAAATGGAACAAATTGGTCTCAGTCGCATATTCCAAAATGGCGACAAAGATTGGAAAGCGGTAAGGGAAAGAAGGGGGGAAGACGTTGTAGAGGCCCATAAGTCTGAAAACAAATAAATAATTTAATTTAATTTAATTTAATTTAATTTAATTTAATTTAATTTAATTTAATTAATTAAATTCAATTTAATTTAATTCATGCAATCAAATCATAAAGTGCTCCGGAAATGCCTTCTTTACATGCCCGCAGGTGCAGCGCAGCAGACCGCTGCTGCTTGCTGCTGCTCGTTTTGCTGCTGCTGCGCGAGTTGCTGCTGCTGCTGCTGCTGCTGCTGCTGCTGTCAGCTTGCTGCTGCCAGCTTGCTGCTGCAGCCAGCACCGCGGTATGCACTCCGCAAATACCCACAGCAGCAGCCAAGCCAGCAGCAGCAGCAGCAGCAGCAGCAGCAGCAGCAATTGTATTCATTAAAACAAAGATTAAAAGTACAAAAAGGCATGTAGTATGAAACAAAAAAGAAGTGAAAGCCAAGACTTTCCCTCGCCAGACCTTCAAGTCTTGATATTGAGATAGCAAATCAAATTAAATTAAATTAATTAAATTAAACAGAATAAAATAAAAATAATTAATGCATTTAATAACTACAAAACAAGACTTTAATATCTTCAAATAAATGCGGACCAGGCAAAGAAGCAGCAGCAAGCCCGCTGCAGCAGCAGCCTTTGAATTTCGAAGGCGCTGCAGCAGCAGCAGCAGAAGCAGCAGCAGCAGCAGAAGCAGCAGCAGCAGCAGAAGCAGCAGCAGCAGCAGCAGCAGAAGCAGCAGCAGCAGCAGCAGCAAAAGCAGCAGCAGCAGCAGCAGCAAAATTGTTTCAACTGCTGCCTCAAAGGCACTTAAAATGGAGGAAATTTAGCGGGAAAGAAGGCCAAAAGAAGGAGAAAAGGAGGCTTTGCAAACTGGACTTTGAATTTGTTGAAAAGGATCTTTTATTTGATTTCAAATCCAAAACGAACTCACAATTTCAACCTGAACTCCGGCTGGTCCTTCGAAGCTCTGAAAACTGCGCAGAAGTTGCCGGCCATTTGGCCCGCGGCTTCCACGTCTGTAATGCGCAGCACCACCAGCGACATCAGCAGCATGAAGAAGTCCTGGACTTCTCTGAGGGCGTCTCCGTAGGACTTTTTGAGCTGCAGAGGGGAAAAAGAAAGAAAAAAAAGAACTGAAGAGCCTTTGCAGAAAACGGCGTCGTTTTAGCTGCTAATTTGTCCGCAATTTGCAAAATGAACAAGTCCGAGACACGCCAGCCGCCAGCTGCGCGAAGTTGGGGTGTACGCGCACCTCGTTTCCGCGGAAAGCGCCGCTAAAAACGCGCGATCACCGCGGAAAACAAAAGAAAACGAAAAAAGGAAATAAATTGGAAAAAAAAAATCGAAAAAAGAACAAGTTTCCGCGATTTACCTCCGGTCGAGTCTCGGCCCCCGCGGGCGGCTGGCCCTGGGCGTCCTGCGCACTGCGGATCTCGCCCAGCCAGCGAAACACCAACTCGTTTTGAGAAAGCAAAAGAGATAAAAGATTAATTGGATTTGTTATTTTGGTTTCTCCAGCAGCTTCGTCGCGCGTGAAGCAGCTCATGAACTCCCGGTAGTAGTCCTTGGTCCGCTGCGTGTCTTCCGAGTCGTACAGGGTGATCACTGCGCGCACGCGGAGTTGATGGAAATACTTCAACTCTAAACGTTTTAATTAACTCCAAACTTTTTAATTAACTCCAAACTTTTCAATTAAACCCCCAATTCAATTCAGAGACGCACTGCAGCGCCGCGCAGCCGCAGCAGTGCAGATCGCTGTGCAAAACTTGCAAAGAAAAGCACAAAAAGCCAAAACATGAACTTCAACTTTTCAGCGCCAACGAAGCAACAAAAGGGCTTTTTATGAAGCCACGGCACTCGCCATCTTCATGCAGCAGTTTTGGAAGCGAGAAAGCTTTAAAAAAGGAAAAAAATTCAAAAAAAATCACAAGTTGAATCGCAACATAAGGCAAGTTCGTATCGGGGGGCCCTGCAGCGGGCCCCGGGGCAAGTCTGCGGAGTTCTTCTTCGCCAGGAATGAAAGAAAAGATATTTTGGGGTTTAAAAGAAATAAAAATAAATAAATTGAAAAGTTATTTCGAAAACGACGCACAGTGGAGGAGCCACTCGCCCACAGCAACTGCCGAGGCGGTGCCGTCGGTGTCGGCCGCAAGCGGGACGAAGGTGGTCATTTTCGGAGTTTTCTCGTTTTCAACTCATTCAATCTTTTTAAAAAGACAAAAGAATCCAAAAGGAGGAAAAAAAAGCAAAAAAATCCAACAAAAAGCCGCTCAAGTCGATCCAATCACTCTAACCCCACGCCGCATGCAGCCCCAAACGCATGCGCCAGCCTCTCCCGCCGCCGGGCTTCTTCGGCCACAAAAACGGAATTTTTATGTTTTATTCACTTATGAATTTAATTAATTAATTAATTTATTTATTTATTTATCTATTTGTTTATTATTTGTTTGTTTTATTTCATCTTTTTTTTCTTTCAAGGAGAATATTCGACAAGTGCGGCGAGCTGTAAAGACAGGCCACCAGAAATGGGACTATGAACATGAATATTTTGTCCAAATGGAAAATGCATTAATTTTCTTTTTTATCTTTTTGATTAAATGTTTTGAAAGGACATCAAAAGAAGTAAATTAAAATTGCACAAATTTTATAAACGCTGTTGCCTCTTCACAACGTTCCAAACAAGGCCTTAAACACCCAAAGACCAAAACCCTAAACCCTAAACCCTAAACCCTAAACCCTCAAAAGAAGGTGGCAGAAATGGAAATTTGCCGTGCCAGTCAATCAGCACTGGCCCCTCGCCCTAGCTGAGGGTTTAGGGTTTAGGGTTTAGGGTTTGAGAGAATTCTTCGACCACTATCGCCTTTGAAGCCCAAATTAATTAATTTGGCAACACCCCAGGCAGCCTACTAGGGTTAGGGTTTAGGGTTTAGGGTTTAGGGTTTAGCTCGGGCTTCTCTACTTTGCAGATTCCAGGAGGGCTTTAACTAAAATCTATTTTCTTTTTCTTAAAATGAGAAGAAGATAAAATGAGAAAAAGAGAAAGTCGGAAAAGCTTTGCAATTTGTGTTTCTCTTTGGGGTGTCTGTACACCTGGTCGAGTGGCTGGGTATTTGACTTTGTTTTTTTGTCATTTCTTTTTTTGGATTTCAAAATTGGCAAAAGAAGCAGCAAAGGAGATTAGAAGAAGTCCAAACCCTAAACTCTAGGGTTTTGTTTTTGTTTGAAACTTGCAAAAAGCAAAAAAGCAAAAAGCAGATCTTCAACTTCAATTAAATGCCACTTTCCACTTTTTTGCATTTCAGCTCACTAGGCCTTTGCCTTTTAAATGCATGCAAAAATTACTTCCAAAGAAGTGACCCTTGCATGCAAATTGAATGCATGCAAGCTGCATGCATGCAAACTGCATGCATGCAAAATGCATGCATGCTAATGCAGCACTTTGCATGCATGCAAGCTGCATGCATGCAAGTTGCATGCATGCATGCAAGTTGCATGCATGCAAGTTGCATGCATGCATGCAAGTTGCATGCATGCATGCAAAGTGCTGCGGCCAGGACAAGTGTGGGGCGTTTGCATTTAAATGGAAAGTTGACTTAATTGCACTTGCCACTTAAATGCAATTATTATTAAATGCATTTATTATTAAATGCATTTATTATTAAATGCATTTATTATTTAAATGCATTTATAATTAAATGCATTTATATTTAAATGCATTTATTCTTAAATGCATTTTTCAAATGCATTCTCGCGCTGTCGAGACACCCGAACTCCGGGGTAGTGCGCACCAGGGCTTTTCCACAATGCCTATTTGGACTTTAATATTTGAATATAAATAAATATAAATATAATTATAAATATAAATATAAATATAAATATAAATATAATTATAAATATAATTATAAATATAAATATAAATATATATATTCAAATATTTTCATAAAAGGACTCTACTTCTTGTCTTCCGCTTCTTCAAGTCCCTCCTGGTCCGCAGTTCGACTTCTCCTTCTTTTCCCCACCTCTAGGGTTTAGGGTTTAGGGTTTAGGGTTTAGAGTCTCAGAAGTGTTTCTTGTTCCAGTTCCCTCCATAAGTCCAGCAAATAAACCCACTTCCATTCCCACTTGCTGAAGGAAAGAGCTGCCTTCCCTCCGCCCGCTTCCTAGGGTTTAGGGTTTAGGGTTTAGGGTTTAGGGTTTGGGGCCTAGGGGATGTTTCGAATCCCCGTTCTGTCGCCGTCTTACGGGCGGTTTCTGGGGTGAAGGTAAGGGTGAACGACGTCCTTTCTTGACGGAAGGGAGGCGGGCGAAGGATCCCAAATCCCATTAGGGTTTAGGGTTTGGGGCCTAGGGGATGTTTCGAATCCCCGTTCTGTCGCCGTGAATGCCCGCCAAAG